CCACCACTTGTCCTCCCAGTACGCTGCCCAGAGGGCACTCCCAGCTGTTGCCCTTCCTCCACCGTACACTTTCACTGTGTCACCTGTCTTGGCCTCGGTTTCCTCATCTGAGGAATGGGAATAACCAGAAAAAAATCCATACCATTTTTGAAGATTAAATGAGAATTTTTTAATGGGAGCCCCATCACCACCACCTGCCAGTGCCGGGCACAGCGTGGGCGTTCTGGAATGGTGATTTTTGTTACGATTGTATCATCCAATCACTTGTTCCTGAGTCCTGGGCACATCTCTCACTCACTCTTGCTTTATCTCATCTCTTCCTTAGCCCCCAGGTACCACCTCATCCTCTAACCTGGAATCTTGTCATCTACCTCTCAGCAAGTGAAGCTGGTGCATTTCTACCCCATACCTAGCCCAGGGTCTGGAGCACGACACAGTCAACCCGAGCATGTTCAGGAGACAGACGAGCCCTTTATGGCAGAGATATTTGAGGGGAATTGTTTCCTTCCCTTGTCCCCAACCTCTTGCCCTCTCCCTGCAGCCCAGGCAGAAGAGCCACCTGTTCCCTTGCCACTGGAGCCTTGTTGTAGAAGCTAACGCCACCGGTGGACTTGCTGGAGCCTTACTCCTGAACAAAGGGCCTGTCCCCTTAAAGAAGCTGGGTGTCACCCTGCAACATACATGAAAACCAAAACCAAAATTGGTATCAGGCCTTGGAGAACTGGAGGCTCAGAGAGGTTAAACAGATTACTCAAACCACACAGCTAATTTGATCACTCATTTATACATGAAAGGAGATAAAATAGAGCAAACACCAGATAAGATTCTTGCCTTCTTGGAGCTTAAAGTCAAACATAGGGGTCAGTAAACATTTTCTATAAAGGGGCAGAGAGTCAGCATTTTAGGCTGTGTCTTTTACGTGTGAGAGCAGCCATAGGTCGTATATGAATGAATGATATGTCTGAGTGCCAGTAAAACTTTGGTGACAAAAACAGCTGGTGGGTGGAATTTGACCTGCAGGCTGTATCTTGTTCAACCTCTGGCCTAGTGGAAAAGGGGCTCCTGAATGAAATAATGATATGGTTGCATGTAAAGTCAGTAGCTCAAAAGAGAATTATGTGACTCGAGGAACATAATATAGAAGTCACATGGGAATGAGAGCAGGAGCCCATACAAAGGGTCATATTAAGTGAGGTCTAAGGATGAGGAGCCATAATTAGGCATAGAGGAGACAGGGGAAGGAAAAGCTGTCCCAGGCTCGCAGAACAGCTGGTGCAAAGACGCTATGGCAAAAAGGTCCGTGGCTCTTTTCAGATCCTGAAATAAGGCTCGGGGTGCAGGATGGAGGGCAGGGAAGGACTGTCTATGCTGGAAGCTCATTAAGACCACAGGTTAAGGATGCAGTCTTCATCCCGAAACCATTGTTCTTGTGACGTGATTGGGTTTTTATTATGAAGGGCTCGCTCTGGTTTCTGGCTCAAAATCCCGCTGTCAGCAACCCGAGGAGAAGGGGGGCACCCCGGAGAACTTGACTGCAGCCAGAGGTCATCCCCAGAGCCCAGGCTTCATGTGCGGCTCGACACCCTTCCTTCCACTAACCCTTTACTTTATGTTTGCTATTCTAACAAATCTCCCCTTCTCGCCACTTACAAACGCAGATTCATATTTCATTATGCGTTGACGACCACGGCGCCACCCCATTCCATTTTTCTCACCTTTCTTCTTTCCCTCCCCAGCCTGATCCCCCCCAGCCCCTCCCCCCGACTAACTTCGTAAAACTTGCAAGTTAAATTTTTCAAAGACTGTTTCTGACAAAGCAGTGGGAATTAGATTTGGTGAAGCCCTTCATAAAAAATTGAAGACATGCTATATTAACATACATTGATTTATTCATAGTGTTTCATTACAAGTAAGTGAGGCCCCTGTAATACCAGGAAAGGTTAGGAGAGCAGGGGAGCGCGGTATATTATATTGACAGCTCGGTGGAAATTAAGTTGCTTTTGGATTGAATTTGGAGCGCAGGAAAAGAATTGGCTAGTAAATAAGGCATGAGTTTTACCTCCCAGTATCTGTATATCAATGTAGTTGCTACCAACCCAGGCAGGGGGACAGGGACAGAATTTTGAAAGAATGTAAGGGCATGTCCTCTCCACTGGGATGCTAGGGTTACTTGCCATGGGCAGAACCCTCGGAACAGCTCCCCTTTTTTGCCAGCAGGGAAAGCAGAGTCCAACCGCACACTAAAAGCTGCCCTTGCCCCTGTTGCTGGCTACTACGGAGTCCCGTGGGCTTAGCCCTGGCAGTCCCCTCTGCTCCCAGCCTGGGATGCTCTTTCCTCTGACTCCGTATTGTTCCTCAGGTATTAGATTGGCGCTCTTCTGAGATGCATCCCTGAGCACGTTATCTGAGTTTGGCAATTCTCAGAAGCAGACCCTGAGACAAGGATTTGGATATGACCAGTTTGCTGAGAAGTTAAACACCAGGAAAGGAGCAGGAAGTGGGGAAGAGAAGGGACAGTGGCCAGTGATCATTGCAATTTCAGGCCAGTGATCTTTGGAAACCCGTCAGGGCTGAGGCAGGGCCACCAGTGGGGCCCGGGGAATTTGTGTATCGACTCCCATCAGTAGCTGGGGGTGTTAATTATCCAGCGCCCAGCAAGCACCCATGGAGAAAGTCCTCAGGCAGAGAGAGGCAGATGCTTGCAGTGCCTGCCTCTGAGAAGGGCTCGGGTGACAGAGGTGACCTGAGCAAATGCTGGGGACAGGTCCAGCAGAGCAACCTGAAGCTGGCGGCCACCTGCGTCGTGGATGCACATGCTTACGGTCTGGTTGCATAAAAGGCCAAAGCCTTCAGCTCCCTGCGTTTCTCTTCCTGGGCTCACTCTGCTTCAGGCAAAATCTGGCCTCTCTCTTGGAGGCTGTGGCATCAACTGTTAACACCTCTACTGCTTAATACAAATACGTCTCCAAAACATCAACTGACACTGCCAGAAAAAGAAAATTGCTTAGTTCTGAAGGGAAGTTCGTGTGGTCCCTTTTCTGCCTGGGTTTGGCCATCCTGTGAATGTGAGCCATTCTTGACTAAAGATACGGTGATGTCAGCCGTCTGTATACCTGGCTTACCTCTCTCGATAAAGGAGGCCACTGGAGGTGGGGGCCTGGCTTGTAATTCATCTGGGAGCCTCCAGTGGGACACAGAGCAAAGGCTACAATACAGGGACACTGTGGGAATGGTGGGAAGGGCCAAATAAGCAGACAAATGGATTCTTCAACCAGTGCTCTGTGTCTCCGGGTCAGGCAATGTGGTTTAGAATGAAGAACACAGGCTTCTGAGTAAGACAGACACGGACTTAGTCCAATGTCGGTGATAGATTATTGAAGACACACGAGAATGCATGATTTGCAGCTATCCAGGCCAACACAGATGACCATCCTAGACACCATGCTGAGAGAAAGAAGACAGACGCAAAAGAGCACACACCGTGGCACTTCATTTCTATAAAATGCGAGAACAGGCAGCATTAGTCTACGCTGCTAGAAGCCAGAAGTGACCCCTGTTGGCATTAGGCAGGTGGGATTGGAAGGAAGCATGGGGGGTAAGTCTCAGGCCTGGTAAGAGTTTGGTTCCTGATTAGGACTGTGTCCAATTCCCCAAAATTCATCAAGCTGTATTCTTCTATATGTATATTATACTTTAATAAAACAGGTGGGGTTTTTTTTGGCGCAGGGGGTAGGGGGTGGTTGAGATAGAGTCTCACTGTGTTGCCCTGGGTAAAATGTCTTGGGATTACAGGCAGGAGCCACCATGCCTAGCCCTTTAATGAAACAGGTGTTTTGTTTTGTTTTTTAATTGTTGGATTCATGGAGGGTACAAAGAACCAGGTTACATCGATTGCTTTTGTTGGATAAGGACTCTCTTTAATGAAACAGTTTTAATGATAAAAACTATAGAAGACAAACAACCCCCCTCCCTGACCCCGTGTTTGCCACTTAAGAACTGTGTTTAGAGATGTGACACTCAAAGTGAGATCCACACAGCCAATGCCAGGCTACTAAGGACTAGTTATTTTCATGGCAGGGTAAGTGCAGAAATTTTTGAGAGTAGGCAGTTCAGAACTTTAAAGTACCTCGACATTGCCATGACATCCAAGCACATGATCAGTGAACAGTGGACACAATTCGTTCCACGGAGTACAGACCAGTTGGTTATTGCCAGACTCACAGGATAAGTTGTGTGGGAACGTGATCTTTGACTTATTACCAGTCTGCAGTGGACTGGAAAACACTGTAAATAAACTATCACCATGGTTAGTTGGGAAAGTGCTCATTCAGTGGAGAATGGTTCCAGATGAACCTCAGTTTTCCCATCAAAAACTGAAAATAACTGCCCCAATGCCCCCAAGGTTTCGAGAAAGACAACCAAGGTTATGAAAAGCATGTGGCACGTAGGACCCATGATCTGCGTTTTTACCCAGCCCTCAGATAAGGATAATTCTACCAGATACCTATGCTGTCCAGTGGGGTGGCCACCAGCCACCTGAGGCCACTGTACTTCTGAAGAGTGGCTAGTCCATGTGAAGATGGGCTCTGAGAGTCAACAACACACCAGATTTCTAAGGCTTACTATGAATAACAGAAAACAAGCCACCACTTTGAATTTTTTATGATTCAATTGAATCTGGTTACAGATTGAAATATTCTTGATATACCGGGTTCAAGATACATTATTAAAATTAATTTCACTTTCCTTTTTACTTCTTTTCACGCGGCGACCAGAAAATTTAAAATTACGTATGTGGCTCACATACTGGTTTTAGTGGATGGTGCTGCTCTCGCGTGTCAGCAGCGGAGTATTTGGAGGCTGGGACGATCTGTAAAGGGCATGGAAACAGGCAGCTTAGCAGAACTCACTGTCCAAACTCACAGGCCCTCTCCTTGCCTCCACTCCTATGAGTGCTCCATCCAGCTTCCTAAGTGGGGAATTTATTTGTTTTTTTGCAGATCAACTACAAGGCCGTTGGCTCACTGGACCCCAGCGCTGACCTCTCCACCCAAAGGGGGAAAGTGTTCAAGCTGCGGAATGAAACCCACCACCTGTTCGTGGGTCTGTACCCAGGTACCACCTACTCCTTCACCATCAAGGCCAGCACGGCAAAGGGCTTTGGGCCCCCTGTCACCACCCGGATCGCCACCAAAATTTCAGGTATCTCTTTTAGAAAGAGAAAAGGAAAAAAGGTTGTTCCACTCCCCCCCAACCCCTTTCTGTCTTTCCTTGAAGAGTCAGAGCCAACTGTCCCCATGTGGTATTGGAGTAGTTTGGACAACACTGTCCCTAGGGGGTTACCCTTGTAATGTCATGGAGAAAACCTAAATGACAAACTTCCTAAAGTGTAAAAAACATTAACGAGGTGGCAAGTCACCAAATAATTTGACCACAGGGTTGCATGAAATAGTATGTGTGTGTGTATATAGCATACAAATTAGTTTCTAAATTTATTTTTAAGAACTTTACTTTTTTTGCCAGAGCAAGACACAGCACAGACTCTTCTGAAGTGTCTGATAAATGGATGGATGAGTGAATGAATGGATGAATGAATGAATGACTGGCAAGATGGCAGACGGCCATCACCAGGCAGGCCTCCCTCCACCATGAGACAGCATCAAAGCACAAAGATCTCAAACCCTTTTTACAACTATAATTTTTCAGAATATCTATGCAATGCTGGTTTGCATACATATGTATTTTGCACATGCTGTTGCAAAAAAAAAAAAAATTCTTTTTGTAGCTTAATGTTTCCACTTATCCTCATCCCATAAGCATTTCCCATGGTGCTCCATTGCTTTCATTATAATGTTCTGTCAAGTGGATGGACGTAATTTAATTAAACATTCCTCTGTGGTTGGATATATTTGGTGCTTCCATGTTTTTATAAAATAACGCTTCAATAAATATGTTACAAAATACAGTTTAATTTGTTGGTTCAGAATATAACTTTGGGATTAAATTTAGAAATTGAAAAACTGAATTAAAAGGGATGTGGGTTGTAAAAGCTCTTGATACAAATGGCTAAATGACCTTCCCAAAGGATGAGATTTAGTTGCCCTCCTATCAGCTGGGTATGGGGGAAGGAGGTCTCATAAAAAAAAAATATGGTGGAGGGGAACTGGTTTATCATTACTTTAATTTGCACCTTAAATGTGCTTGAGAGGGCTGACTTGGCTTTAGTACCTTTGTTCTACATTTAATCCCTGCATGGATCTGTTGATTCATGTGATTGATATGGGAGATTGGCTGTGTGATTACCCCCACTTCCCTGGCCTCCTTCCTCTCCTCGGAGGAGCCTACCATGGGCAGGGAGGGAGTCAGAGCCTCCTTTGCAGAAAGCCTGGGAGGCTTCTCATCCAAACTCTTTCCCAGACTTCCTCCCTCTAGTCACCTTCATCTTTAAGGGTGGCACCAGGGGAGTGGTGAGTGGGGGGTTGGGACCTGTGCTCAGCTCACTTGTTCTCTCTGTTCCCTGCCCAGCTCCGTCGATGCCTGAGTACGACACGGACACCCCACTGAATGAAACAGACACGACCATCACAGTGATGCTGAAGCCCGCTCAGTCCCGGGGAGCCCCCGTCAGGTGAGGAGGGTCCTTCACCTGGAGATTTGCAGTTTCCCTTCTTGGCGCCACACACACCTCCAGGGGAATCATGCGATGAGCTGTGCCCATGGGCAAGGCTTCCTGGGATCAGTGTCTTAAGGACCATATAAAGATTCTGGCCTCTAAGCCAGGATCCTGCTATTATACCAAACAGTGGCATGTTCAGAGGGAACATGATGACAGCGGTGGTCTGGGAGAGGACTTTGTGGAATTCACATGGTAAATTAGCTAGTGGGGTGGGGACCTAGAATACAGTCTTCCAGCAAGATCTCAGGAGCATAGTGGTGCCCAAAGTACAAAAGCGTCTTAGTGGCTAAGTGGCAAGTTCCTGGGACCAGGAGTGTGGCCTGCTCTTTTCCACAAGCCACATGTTGCACAAGGCCAGGGAAGTTGATTTTGTTGAGAACCGGTTTTGTGCAGAACTGCAGAAAGCAGGACTCCAGTCCCTTGAAATAAAGCAGAGCACTGGGTGGGACCACTTTCAAATTGGCTGGATAAACGTGCACTCAGCACCTTCTGTGCCAGGAGCGAGGCAGGGCCCAGGGGGTAAAAAACGATTCACTCATTCCACAGACGTTTTCATTAAGTATCCATCCCATCTCAGGCACCGTCTAAGTGCTTGGAGTATGGCAATGAGCTACCTGTGAACAGACCAACAGAGGCCTAAAGAAAGCCAGACTGTCGATGAGGAGACAGAAAGACAAAAACCCAACGGTAGCACCGTGCGTCCTCGTGGGGACGTGCCTGGGGGGTTAGGAGAGCTCAGAGGAGAGAATCCCCGGAGGAAGTGACACTGAGCTGTGTCTTAAATGATGTCTGAGATTTCCCCAAAGTTGTGAGAGGGTCCAGTCTGAGCAAAGGCGCAGAGGAGAGAAACAGCCTGCTATAACCAGAAGCCACCACGACCAGCTGTTTGCTTAACATACAGGCATATGCGGAGATAATGGGATGAGAAAGGGGTGGGCTTGAGAAGCCCGGTCCAGCATCAGTGTTTGTGTCACTGGAGGCTGGGACACCAGCCCACAGGGAGGCTTTTGAGATCGTCTGGGTCTGTTTCATAACCTGTATCCAACATCACCCAGAAATCCTAGGCAGTGGAGCAGATAGAACCAACCACTACCGATTTAGAAGTTCCTGTCTAGTCTGAAGACTTTAGACAGTGCTTCCCCCCAAGTCAGGTGAATCTTCAGGCCTCGCAGCAGGAGTGGTTGAAAATGAAGAAACTGAGGCATAGAAATGTCCAAGAGCTCGTGGATAGTGAGTAGGGAAGCTGAGTTGAATTCAGGGCCCCCAGTGTCAAATGCTGCATTGTCTTCTGGCCACACCCACTTCTCCATTCATTCCTCTCTCATATAGCAACACTTTTAAAATCTGAGAAAAGTTCCAAGGTAGCAAAAGCACTGCCCAGAGCGGGGAAGCAGTTAGCCCACGGTTACACAGCAAGTTCACAGGTAACCCAGAACTCAGTCCAGATCCGACCCAGAGTCTGTGAAATTTTTATAGTGGACCCATGTATCCGGGCCTATAAAACTATCAGCAAAAGGTCCAGCTCACCTGCCACTGTGCAGCTTTCCTGTGGATGTGGCTTTAGTTCAGCTCCCTAGTTCTCTGGCTGTGCGTGGAACCAGGGGGAAAAACCGTGAGTTTGGTGGCAGCAGACTGAGATTGAAATCCTGCTGTGGCCTCAGACAAAATGCTTAATCTCTCTCCCGGAGACTCACTTCTCCTTATCTGCAAAGTGTAAACAGTAACTATGTCTCAGTGGCTGAAGAAAACATGGAAATACTCAGAGCCAGGAAGACCTGCACCCAGGCCTGCCTGATCCCAGAGACCACCCTCCTTCGCCCCCAGCAAAGGGGTCCTCTGAGCAGCCCCAAATCAGATTACGCAGGAAAATGTCTCCAGTTCCCGCAAACAGAAGCCCTGACACTTTCCCTCTGAGCCTCTGTGCTCTTGGTTTGCCTATCTGTTTAAAAAGCTCATGCATCCTGGGACTACCGTAAATTGTGGGGAGGGAGAAGGGGATGAAAGTACCCCGCAGCAGTTAGAGTGAGAAGTGGCAATCAGCAGGGAGCCAAGGATCAGGGCGACTCTACATAACAGACACAGGGGCTCTCCAAGCTCCTAGGTCTACGTGATGCAGCCCCCGAAAGCCACGCATGTTCAGTACTTGGTCCTGTTTACCCAAAACACGTGAGTCTTTGATTTTAAAGCGCTGGCAGCTTCCGTTTAAGGAGGGAGCACTTGCTGTGTGTCTGTCGCTGTGCACAGAGCTGCTCGTACTTTCCCAACCCTGCGGTAATGGTCTCCACACTTGGCACGTATAGAAATGGAGCCAAGCAGAAGCTAAGTGAGTTGGCCCAGGCCACGAAGCAAGTTAAGTGTTACAGGCAACATTTAAGCTTAGTTCAAATGACCCTAAGCCAGCACTCTATACCACACCACCCTCCTGGGAGAAAGGTGTGCATGATGTATTTTGGTGACATTTCCATCCAAAAAAAAAAAAAAATTAAAATAAAAGAAATGTCACTGCTCAAAGGGGAAATGGTTGGTGTCTGGAAATGTCTGGCTGCTTTTTTCCCTGAGGTTCTGGTTCACTGAGGTGGGTGTTCGCTCAGCTTCTGGAATTATTTTCAGACTATCACTTGGGCATTTGTCACACAGGGGGATGAGGGGAGCCAGTCCCACCCAGCAAGATTTTCAGAAGTGGAAACATCACAATAGGTTTCTGTTATTTTGACCTTTATTCACCTTGAACCCTGGATGTGCCCATGAGAGGCAGTTGACTATTAGGCCATTCAACAGACCTTTACTGAGCACTTGCTATGTCCCAGGCAGTGAGTCAAGCAATGGGGTCACAGCAGGAAACCACACAGACACACTCCTGCCCCTGCGTGTGATGGCACAGAGAGGTGGGGCGTTCAGCAAGCAAGCAGAGGAAAACACGAGATGGGCACAGCATGTGAGAGGGCAGGAAGTCACTAGGAACGGCGTCTGTCTTGATTGAGAGGCTCAGAGACTGGCTGAAAGGATCAGCCCCACCCAAGAAAGTAGACCAGTATGAAGGCCCGTGGGTTTGGGAGATAGAAGCCTGTAAAAAACAGCTTGAACCCTCTACAGCCCCAGGACACAGAGGGCGTGCTGGGTCAAGGATGCTTTGATGGGCTCCTGAATTAGAATTTACTGTACTTGCATTTTACTGTCAGACCTCTCTTACCTGGTGAACAAGCCGACTGAGAAAACCATCTCCATGGCAGAGGAGGAAAGTGAAAGTCGGAGGTGTTGAATGTTTGGCTGGTTACAGGTGAAGCCAGAGATCGCATCTCCTGGCACTGAGCTCATCCCTCCTCCGGGAGGTTCTGAGTCCCCTGCCTGGGACATCAAGTGATGAGCAGGTGGCCTTAGATGGGGATGCCACAGCGTGAACCTCCAACAAGGGGGTAAAGGTAGGAGGGTGACTTCTCAGGGGTCCTCCACCTCTGCTTCTCTGGGCCTGGCCTGTACCATGTGAGCTACAGCAGATCTGTCCCTGATGGAGCCGCCTGTCCCCAGATGGACTTACACCTGAACTTGGGCCTTGAGGCCCCCCAGGCAGGCTGTTCCTCCTCTGCCATCCACGTGCTGACCCTGGCTGAGCCTGACACTAGGCCCTGCCCTGTGCCTGCTGCTCCTTTGAAGCCCCATGGGTCTGAACTGCCTGGTAGAACTGAGTGACCAGGAGGTGAGGAGGGGCGGCAGGGAGGAGTCTTGCCATGTGAGGCTCCTGCACCCTCATCTCTCCAGCCAAACCACCTCAGCAGCCTGGCCTAGTTTTCTAATACTCCACAATGGAGATTTATTGCTTTTGCATTGCTTTCCTCGGGCCTTCAAAGATTTATTGGTTTTTAAGTGACAGAATCCCAGAATTGCTTAAAAGATCAATCACACAGTGACTAGAATCTAATATTCAGCTCCCGCTCGAACACGCAGAGCCTTCTTCCCCCACGCCCCACCTGTCACACTGATGTATCTCTGGTAACCTTCATAGGAGAATAACATGGCTGTGAATTAATCACCCATAATGCCGTCCCTGAAATGAGGCTGGGGGCAGAGCCCCAGATTCTGCAGCAGACCCACCCCTGACCACCCACAGGCTTCCCGGGAGATGTCCTTTGTTCACCCTTCCTGTGCTCCCCATCCAGTCACCAAGACTGTCCCCTTGGAATCAGCCCTGGCTGAGCTCTCCCCTCCGCCATGGCCACTCCAGCCCCACACTGTGCACCTGCTAGGGTGTGCTGGCTGGTTTGTGTACCACAGTCTTCTCCTGGCTGAACTGCTGGACTGATCCTTTGGAAGCACAAATTAGATCAAGTTAACTATCTGCTTACATTTTTTCAATGGGTCACTGATTTTCTACCACATTAGGTTCAAGCTTCTTAGCATGAAATTCAAGGTCCATCGGAATCTGGCCTTAACCTTGTTTCCATTTCATTCATTTCCCCTCTGCCCCTTCACCAGGTTTTCCTGAACAGTGACCCGTGTAGTTCCTTCCCGGTTCTGTCCTGAGCCTTTAATTGCATTCTGCGTTTGTTTGTCGGTGTTCTTGGCTTTTGATTTTTACGTGCCCCCCGATAGAGTGTGAGTTCCAGGAAATCTGAGAGCTTGGCACTCTTGGACTCCCTTTTCATGGGAAGATGTCTGGCATTTAGTAGCTGCTCAAAAATAAATATATAACTTGATATTAAAATATATAATCAATTAATTCAGCACATCTGCTTTGCCCACCTGGTAGATACCAGGTGCTGGGAGTGTGGAGATACACTTTCGAGGCCCGACCTTCAGCTGTCTCCTGTTCTTACATGGGGGGAGCTGTCCAGTAGAACTCTCTGCAGTAACAGAATTGGCCTAGACATGTGCTGTCCGGTATGGCTGCCACTAACCACACATGGCTATGGAGGACTCGATACACGGCTAGGACAACTGAGGAACTGATCGTTAGT